CCCCAAAACCCCAAAACCCCAAAACCCCAAAACCCCTTGTTCATCTATGTTTAAAAAAATAGTATTAATGAAATAGTAGAATTATAATAAACTGATAATTTATAAATAATAACTTTAAATATGTTAACAGAGGGGCAAGAGATTTCGGAAGGAAGATTCAAGGTCATAAAGAAACTAGGAAGTGGAGCTTTTGGAGAGATTTACAAGGGTAAAAAATACTCTTTGTCAATTAACATCTGTGTAGTGGAGAAGAAGAAGACAGGCGAATTCTATGCTGCTAAAATTGTAAGAAAGCTGTTGCAATGATTTAAATGATCGAGACTACAATAAAAATCTGCGAAATATTGATTATTGTTATAGGAAAAAGCAACAAAGTACGCTAAGCACGTTATGCTGTTCTGGGAAAGTAAACTCATCCATAAGCTAAGAGGAAAGAGTAAATTACTTCTATTTAGCCATTAATTTATACTTACTTTTGTTGTTTAGCATGCGTTCCAGGGCTACACTATGTCGGCACCGACAATTCAAATGAAAGTTCTTAATTCCATGTCATGATTATGGATATGCTAGGTCCTAGTCTAGAGGATCTTTTTCAAGCATGCAAGAGATAGTTTGACTTGAAGACAGTACTGCTGATAGCCATTTAATTGGTATAATAATTAATGTTGAGACAATTTAGTTAAAAAGAATTGAAAAAGTGCATGATGAAAGAATTATTCATAGAGACATTAAGCCCGATAATTTCCTCATTGGTATCACAGAATAGACCAAGGATAGTATATTTATCATTGACTTTGGTCTTGCTAAGTGCTATAAAAATACAGATGGACAGCATATTAAGTATCGTGATGGGAAAAATTTGACAGGTACTGCCAGATATGCTAGTATCAATACTCATAAGGGAGTTGGTAAGTAAATTTGGCCATACTTGTCAGCTATACTATTTATAATTTTGTCCTTTGCCCTTTTGTCATAACCATTCATAATTAACAAACATGATTCTATAGAGTAATCCAGAAGAGATGATCTTGAGACTATTGGCCACGTGCTACTTTACTTTTTGAGAGGCAGTTTACCCTGGTAAGGCCTCCCAGGAAGAAGCAAGAATGAGAAGTATAACAATATCAAGAAGAAGAAGATTGAAACATCATTAGAAGAACTTTGCAAGGGTTATCCTCCAGAATTCAAAGAGTTCATGGAGTACTGTCGCAATCTTAAATTTGAAGAGGATCCAGATTACAAGTATGTGATTGGCATCTTTGAGAAATGTATGACTAGACATGGTTATGATTTGAAATCAACCGACTACACCTGGAAACAAAACAGACTGAGTAAGGATAAGGAAGCTCTTAAAAACAGTGTTCTAAATGTTATCAAAAAGAAACCCAATGAGAAAAAAGACGACCCATAAAATACTAATTTAAATTGATAAGTTTCATATATTTGTAAATTACTCAAATATTATCATTTTGACTTTCGAATTATTCTTACAATTGATTATGAGGGGTTTTGGGGTTTTGGGG